CCGGCTCTGCGAGGGATCAACTTCAGTTTTTCAGTCATGTGGATACGCCAGTTGTTCGTGAGCTTGATAGGGATGAACGCTTGATTTTTTGTGAAGACAACAGCGTTATCTCACACAAGCAACAGGACAACAGCACCACACCAGCAGTCGAGCGTCTTGTATTTGAAAATGACAGCAGCGTTATCTCACTCAAGCAACAGGACAACAGCACCACACCAGCAGTTGAGCGTCTTGTGCATGAGCATGGTAGGGAAACAGTTGTCTGTCGTGCTTGCTTGGAGGATTTCCCTGATGAAGTTGAGATTGGCAGCTTGGATTGCTCAAAGAGGCGAAGTTTTCCTAGAGTAGGACAGATAGGAGACCGCCGCTATGGATCCGAGTGCCACGATGCAACGGAGCATTCAAGAGTTGGAAGGCATGCGCCAGGGGGCGAGACGCAGGAGATTGATACTGTTGGAGGCCAACGCCGCGCAGCATGGCATAGAGCTTCCACAGAATCTCCGAGAGGAACTCCAGGCAACGTATGCCGAGGCGGAGTCCACTGGAGGGGACGAGATGGATCTGGACCCGGAAGGGGATTCGGCAAGGCTGGACCCTTCGACCTCATCGCCTTCGATAGAGTACATCATGGAAGAGACGGAAGCGGCGGAGGCACCGTCGTCCCACACTGGGGTGAGGGAATTCCAAATGGATCCTTCGATCTCAGAGGCTCCAGCCAAGGAACCCGCCATGGTCCTGATGAAGCCGACGCCGAAGATCAAATCCAAGGAAAAGGGCAAGGCCATGAGACCGGTTCGGAATTTGCTGCCGGACCATGTGGACCAATCGACCATGGGAGTCGATCCTCGGGAGCCATCCGGCCCCACGCCGGGATCGTCAGCGCCAACACGGAGAGGAAAACGGCGCTGGGCGTCGACAGGATGGATGACGTGGATTGCTCGTCGATTTGGAGGAGCGTGGACAGCACAAGCTCCGGGAAAAAGCGACCCACCGGACACGCCGGTGACGCTGTATTGCCTCCTGTGCCAGAAGTATGTCACCGAAGCCCATTTGATGAGCGAACCACACGAAGCCAACATGCAGGGCTTCACGCACGTCATCTCCAAGGAGGGCCTCCGCGTGACGCAGAACCCGGTGGATTGGGCCACATGGGAGGAAGCTCTTGCCGAACCAGAGCAGCTGGAACTTGGAGTGACAGAAGGCAAGGCTCGCTCAGTGGTTGCACGGGGACCGAGCGAGTTTCCTCAGCCGAACCCGAAGGAGACGACCGCGGCAGCACCGGCGACCCCAGGGCCAGGACCATCGACAGTGGTGGTGGAGATAGACGAGTCCGACGAGGATTGGGGAGAATGGAGGCCAACCACAGAGGTTCCGGCTCCAACGACCCCACCACATCCGAAGGATCCCCCTATCTCCATGACGCAGCCGCCGGGGGAACCGGTCAGCCCGACAGCAGTGTACACGGAACACCGCCGGGGCCCCAGCCCAGGCATGCGAAGAGCACTCTCCGGGTGACACCCCCATGGCGGGAATCACTTTCCAACCTGGGCTATCATGGTCCGTATCTGCAGCTGCATCTGAGCACACCAGGCCACACCGCAGAAGGGCTGCAAGCCCTCGGACCTTTGAGGGAGAGCTTCCTGCGGATGCAGGTGAAGGACCACGCCCAACTGCCGGTCAGCTTGACACCCCCGAAAGCCACCAGCGACCTCTCCAGCACGGTGATGAGGATGGCAGAAACGATGGAGACAGGAGAAGCGGGGACATTGATACCGGCAGGAAGGCCATTCAACACAATGAGCCTTCGCGCTCAGCTCGAGGCGGGAGTCCTCACGGGCCAACAATACGAGGACCGGCGCCGAGCAAGGTCGCAGGACATACAGGCTGCGAGGTCGGTCGCGCCAAGGCTGGCGCTCCCGATACCTCCGCCTCCTCCAGTTCCGCGGCCCGAACGCACGCCCGAAACTCCAATTCCGTGGAGTGGCGCGCCGTCGGCTGCATTCATGGAACTTGTCAGGCGCCGCCGAGATCGCCAAGAGCGCGATCGTTCTCGCTCCCCGTCTCCCTAAAAGGGAGTACGGCAGCTTTGTCCCAAGACGAGAGAAAAGAGCCCGATACGCGACAGCCACAACAGCAGTTTGAGCTAGTCACTGAAGAAGGAATCATTGGTGACAATGTGCGTAGTAAACAGGCAGAGCTTCAGCACTACATGCAGGGACACGTACCATACATGTCTGACTGCGAGTTTTGCCAGCGCACTAGAGGGGCCACTCCAGCCCGAAAGCGTAGCGACCTGAACCCGAGAGAGTTTCAGCTTGACCAGTGCTTCTTTCGCAAGCTTGCATTCATCGTACTGGTTCATACCATGAGCTTTGCGATTGCAGTTTGCTTTAGACCTGAGGGAGAGAGCGCAGCAACAACAGCAGAGCATTTGTATCCCTGGGTCAGGCACTTTGGTGTGAAACAACCGCATTTCATGTCTGATGCAGAGGGACTCACGAAGAACATCGCAGCGAGGCTCGCTGATCTTTGTGAGGGTACTGAGGACAGCTTTGCACCCGAAAGGCATGCACCAGCAGCAGAACGAGCCATTAGGACCCTGAAAGGAATCGTAGCAACACATGAGCTTGAGTTGCGTGAACATGGCGTTGTTTTGGATGGTGAGTGTGCGGATGTTTTCGACCTTTTGTTTCAATACGCAGCACACACGCACAACAGGTTTTCAGTTTCTGTAGGGTCGACCATGACACCCATGCAGAAGATCCGCGGAGATCGAGTGCGACCGCAAGTCACGTATCCGTTCGGTGCGGTAGCATACGCTAAGATAACGCGGGCTAGAAGACCTGACGCGGATGCCAAGTATGCTCGAGGGATCTACTTGGGACCAGTGCTTGGGAGCACAGGTCATGCCATGGAAATCCGCTTGGATAGTGGGGAGACGAAACGGGTGATCGCGCCCGGACTCAAATTGCTCTACCCGTTGCGTTTCGACGCAAATCTTCTGCCCGGTGCAAAGGCCCTAGATGGCTTCGTGCCCCCACCTGAAGCACCGAAGACCAAAGAGCTGTTTCTCCCATATGTTCCAGGCGGAGGTCCTCCCATAGACTGGGTGAGACAACATGGGGTTACACCCAAGTGCCCCGGATGCCAGGAAGGCGTCAGCTCGAGCAGGCATTCCCAAAAGTGTGTGAAAAGATACCAGAAATGGTTGCGTGATTCCATCGATGATGCTCTGGAGGCATTAGATGAAGGACCAAGGGTCGACCGAAGACCTGAGGAGCTAATTGGAGAAGACCCATACGATGATGACGAACAAATGAAGCCGAACAAGCGCACACGCTTTGGCGGAGAGGAGGTCCGAGCGTTCGATCCTGAGCAAGCAGGAGTCGGAGACTTAGAGATCCCGGAGATGTCAGTGCCGGATGCTGACTGGAATGTATCCGAATACCAGCCGTCCGAGGCTGAGGATGAGGATATGGGAGACGCTCCAGAGCATCCCCAGACATTCCATGAGGGGGTCCCAGTCCGATACCTAGAGGAATTGCTCGAGAACGCCCACTACACACCACAACCACTCTCTTGTTGTGACCACTACGACGTCGAAGCAGCATGTCACTTACTTGTTGGTCGGTCGAGCGTGGAGAAGTTCCCATATGTTTGCTTGAACACAACAACACAACAACAGTACCACAAACAACAACAGTCGGTCGAGCGTGAAGCAGTTGAGTTGTTGAATCTCCAAGACCACCCTTGTGTATGCTCTTCAGTTAAAGAGAAAAAGGAAGATGAGTCCGCAGGGACGTACATGAGAATCCAAGACAGGACTCTCTGCCCAAGGCCGGCCCGTTCAAGGCGCACGCATGTCCGCGTCCAAGGCGCACACAGCAAATCACGGTCTTTCCCGCGTCCAGGCCGCACACACGTCTTGTTTTCATTGGTTTTTACCACGTATTTTGAAGCTTTCGGATTCCGGAAACTTCGAAATGGGTGACTGCCCAGGGCTTTCAGAGCGCGTGCAGCTCGGAAGTGCCGCGTGCAGCTTGGAAGTGCCCTCAAGTGCCGCGTGCAGCTTGGAAGTGGCTGGGTTTAGGGTTAATTTCAAGGATCTTGGCACCCAAACGAGCCCCACGCTTGTTTGGGTTCCACGAGTCGTGTTTAGGGAGTCGGGTTTAGGGCACCCAAACGAGCCCCACGCTCGTTTGGGTGCCACGAGTCGTGTTTAGGGAGTCCGGTTTAGGGTTTAGGGTTTACGAAAGCCCAAGTCCCGAAGCCGAAACCATGAACTCTTCCAAAATGTCTGGCAAATTATTTAACGCTCACCCCCACCCAGGTCCAGGTCTTGCTCCCGTTTCCTGCCACTAAGTGCATAGAGGCGTCAGCGTCAGCTCCGCGAATCTCTCCGCCATGACTTCCCCAATATCCTGTGACGCAGGCAGATAGGGGCAAAGGGCGGGGCTTGCAAGAGTAGAGCTGCTAAAGAACCCAAATTGGAGAGCCGGCCTCATCGACGGCCATGGCTGCCCTGGCTGCCAGTGGACTCGCGGCCGACGCTGCCTGATTCAGGGAGCGGGAGTACTCTGAGTGCACAGGGCTTGGATGTGTCCTGAGAGGTTTAGGGTTTAGGGTTTAGGGTTTAGGGTTCAGGCTTTGGGCTTCAGGGTTTAAGCTTTAGGCTTTAGGGTGCAGGGTTTAGGGCTAACTTCCAGGATCTTGACACCCAAACGAGTCCCGTGCTCGTTTGGGTGCCACGAGACGGTGAGGGTTTTCAGGGTTTGTAGGGTTTAGGGCTTGGGTGAGTGTTTGGTTCAGGGCTTGGGCGGGACCCCTCACTGCGGGCCTCCTCGACCGCGCCTGCCGCTGGACCTGGACGCGGACTCGGGGGCGAGGCTGCCTGGTGCAGGGATGTAAACATAAAATATCTTCGAATACGGTAGGCAACACTGCCTGGTTCAGAATGATTCAGGGGGCGGGCGAACTGAGTGTGATAATACGGCGAGGATTTACATTACATAACGGCCCGCCTGGTCCTCAGCGGGACCTGCACCGCGCTGCTTCGCCGCCATTCGGCGGCGACGCCGGTGCTTGTTGGCTTCGTTTATGAGAGAAGGAGTTATGACGGCCGCACCTCCAGCCTCATCGCTGCCCCGAGCCATTGCCTTGCGGCGTGCCTTTTTGATGGCTCGCTCCGCCGCGGCCCCTGAGCCTGTCTCGTTTGGTGGGGCGCCGCTAAACAGCTGAGCGGCCACTGCCTTGATCTGCAGTCGAGGCCCGAACAGCTCGTCCAATGCCCATGACAGCAGGCCGCCGTGCGACTGCCATGTGCGGTGGTGCGCGCGATGCTGTGGCACATCCTCAACACCCGCAGGGCACGCCGGAAAAGCCATCCTGCCCTCGACCATCTCATACCTGGATGCAAGAGCAACGTCGGGTCACTGAAGTTGGGTCTACGTCTCAATCTGGTGTCGGGTTGACAGGGACTGAGTCTGACTATAGCTTCATAAGGCCAAATGCTAGATTGACATGTTGTAGCCACGGCGCAAAACACACGCTGCGCCGAACTGATCAGCCCGCGGCGACATTGGCTCTTCAGCGTGCCACATCGCCCAGGGTAGATAGTTGGGCGTGCCAGCGATGCTGTCACCCTGCAGACAGGGGAAGTCAAGTACGAGGAGGGGATGACATGGCGGGAAGGGGTTTACGCTTTGGGCTTTGGCGGGATTTGCGAATTACTCTGCCTCACAACTCGGACAGACCAGCCCAAGATCTCCCAGCTTTGCCACATGGCCGCTCAAGAAAATATTCTGCGTCTTGACGTCCCTGTGCATGAGATCCTCTTTGATTTATCGGCCACGTGATGGTGATGATGACCAGTTCAGGTTTGAAAGAGGCCTTGGGCGTGTGTATTCGGCATTTCTTGGGACTTTTGAGTTTAGAGCTTTGCCTGGTTTCTTTAAAGCTAGCGAAAATGGGTTTTAAGTGTCTAAGAATACAACCCTAATAAAACCTACGCCCGAAACCCTAAACCCTAAACCCCAGCATAGGTCCTGTCCATGGATGTACAGCAGCGCGCTCAACAGCTGGCCCAGAACGGAGGCCGCTCGCTCCATGCCGAAAGCGCCACTCTCTGCGATCGTGACATACAGGTCGGACTGCAGCAGCTCCATGGATATGTAGTGGATTCCTCGCCGTGCAGCCCACTAGCCCCAGTGTCGTGTTCAGATTCCTGATATCCGAAAACACTCACCCTGCACCCCGAACACTGGTTTCAGCCGAGTGTCCCCTGATTCGACCCCACTCATAGATCTGCACCATGTTAGGATGTCTCAATCCTTCCATCATCTGAGCCTCCTGGCACGTGCAGGTCCATGATTTTGCACATCCTGAACCCTAAACTGCCCCTGACACGCATGTTACGAAATTGCCCCCCCGAAAGAATCCTCCGGCCTGGCGGAGTTCCGCGCTAGTTGGCCCCGTGTCAGGTGCCAAGGAAACCTTCAAAGCGCGTTCTCCGAAGTCTTCCGCACTCCGGAAGACGAACGCTGCGCCCATTCCACCGGCGCCCAACAGCCGCACGGAGTTGAAGCGGCCAGCTCCAAGGTCAGTGATGAAATCCTCCCATTCCTGATCAGGGGACAGAGCTCTTGTATGGAAGTTCTTGCCCTCGCCCACAGGATTCATACAAAATGAGCTACATCAGTGTACAGTCGTCTCTACGACAAAGCAGTTCAGGGGGAAAACCGTGTCCCTTGGGGCCCGTGGACTAAATACCCCCCGACCGAGCTTTGAGACCGCAAGTTGCACAGCCTGGCCTTCTTAAACTCAGCATCTTCCTCCGCCATGACAGCGGCTGCCGACCAGTCTCAGCAGAGGTCCCGAGGGGCCCGTCCGAAGACGGGCCTGTCGGGTCTTCCGCCGAGCCTGCTGACTGCGCGCCGACGCCCGCTGGCACGACTGCAGCTGATCTCCTCAGGCCGCTCTATCTGCGGCGGCGATCATTCATTGCTTTAGAACTGCTGTGGCGATGATTGATTGCCTGAAAACTACTGGTGTTGCTGCTGCTAGAGCTGCTGCTGGTACTGCTGCTGCTGCTGCTGCTGCTGCTGCTGACCTGCTGCTCATGTTGCGGGCATGCCTGCCTGCTCAGCCAAAAGGTCTTCAGCCTTTCGGGCTCAGGGCTCAGGATTTAGGGTTTTGGGTTTTGGGTCCAGGGTTTAGGGTTTAGCATGGGGGATGTAACGTTCCAGGGTGTTTTGAGGGTGGAGGGTGTCGCCAGGAGCATGTAGCCTTATTTTCCCGAAATGGTCAAAAAGGAGGGCGAGCCCGAATGCCTGAGCTGAGCTGCAAAGGGGTTCCTGTCTGTTGAGTTTGGCCCCAAAGTCTACTCCTGAGGCACTGTGAACCTTCAGCCCTTGCAACCTTAAACCCTCGACCCTAAAGACTACCTGGGGAACGTTGCAGTTTGGTGAATGTTTCCGTCAGAAAACTGAAAAGCCCAAAACCTATCCAGGTGCTCACTGCAAAGACTATCTGCTTCCCTCCAGATGACGAGGGTGTGGAAAGTGCAAGTGCGGGCTCAACGGTTTCAATGGCCATAATTGCTCTAGCGTGGCCTAGAAAGAAGAGACTTGATGAACCTAAACCCTAAACCCGAAACCCTAAACTAAACCCTAAACACGATAAACAGGGACCTGGCACTGAGGCTGGGACGTCTTCCCCGTCAGCTGGTCGGCGCGGCAGGTGTCGCTGCCTTCACCACCACAGGGATTTTCCCCCTTGTAGTAACAGTCCCTAAAGGACTGCTCGGGTAAGGGTGAACATCCAAAACCATAGGCCACGCGCAAGCAAAGGTGTGTGCTGGACAGTTCATCTACTCGATGTCAAGCTCTTCTACTCGACGTCAAGCCCTACTCCCCTGAACCCTAAACTCCACTACGCCCTGCAAAGTCATCGTGGAAGCTGGACGTCTTAAACGCCTGAACACTGAACTCCCCTGAGCCCGGCAAAGTCGTCGTGGAAGCTGGGGTCTTTTGTCCAAGTGGCCCGCGACGCCGAAACAGCGACCCGCCTCCCCAGTCTCATGGCCGCAAAGGCTTATACGGCCGGGATTTCAAACTCCCAATTCCCTTGAAGCCAATGCCCTTGAAGGACCAAATGATTCCTAACAGGCTTATGGTTCATATACCTTGGTAGGAATTATGGAAGTGTAGGGTATATGACCCCAATTTTGAATTTGATCTGGTTTCCATGGAACCCGAACCCTGAACTTCTGAACCCAAACATCTCTGCAAGCCCAGTGAGTCCTACAACCTGAAGCCCTATAGAAGGGAAAGTCCTATAACGTGACACTGTAAAAGGATCTGACGCCACGGAAGGGACCCTCCTCACCCAGCCCCCGTCGCCTCCTCGCTGAAGGTGGTCACTGACTCGCCTTCATCTTTGGGGCACGGAGACCTGAAAGAAAGACTTCACGAGAGGCTTAGGCTGGCTTAGGGTAAAAATTCTGGAACTTCAGGCAAATGTAGGTATGTTGCTCTGAGGGCTTTGGGCACTTGGTACTTGAGGAGCCTGGCGGAGGCTGGCAATGTCTGGTACTCACAAACAACTCGGACAAGCAAGGCGACGCCTCTCCAATGACCAGCTTGACAGGTTCTTGAGAAACTTGAGATGTGCAGGGTCAGGACAGCTCACTGCCGGTATACACTCAAGACAGGCGATGACGCCGGGCTCCGCACGAAGCTACTTAGAAAGAGTCCCCGAATAGGATGGGCTACTAGGCCCTATAATCTCCATACTCAACCCCAAAAAGGGCCTTTGTAAGGGGTTATAGGGTGAAAATCGCCCATGCCGGTAAGGGCCACTGTGCGCGCCCAATCCAGCCTGCATGTCCTCAGCTCATGCTCGTAGCTGCTGTCGTAGCCTCAGATCGCTTAATAAGTGGACCACTGCGCGTGCCAAAAGAAAACGCAGCATCAGTATCGCCCGCCCTCAAGCCCAAAGCATCTTCGCTTCTACATGGTCTCGGTCCGGAGAACCTGGAAGTAAATGACGAATGCCCGGCTTACAAGTGCCCTTCATCGTGGTACGAGAGGCTTACACCAACACCGCATGGGGCAAATCTGCACCTTTTATCCTGAAGCTTCCGGCCTTCTTCGGGCTCTCTTTATGTCTCTAGCCCCAAAACAGAATGGTCCACAGCAAGCCCTTCTTTTCGTGGGGGGAGGGGGGAGGGAGTTACCTGCAGCTGGGTGGCAGGTGCATTGGGGGCCCATGCCTCTCTGGATGTCCTGGCACGACGCTTTCATGTCGAGTCTGGACGGCTTCCAAAACTTGCTGGATTCCCAGAGCCATCAAGAAAATACTCATGAGCACAGTCGATCTTATGAACCCTAAGCCCTAAACCCTTTTTGAGCAACGGACTTTGGAGGCTGCCGGCAAACCCTAAACACTAAACTCTTGTAGCCCTTTTAAGAGGCTCCTCCTGCCCGAACCTGAACCCTGAACCGGTCACGGCCTTTGCAGAGAGCTTGCCGGGCAGCTTTCATGGGAGGCTGTTATGGGTCGATCTTTGCCCCTTGTTCTAACAGTTCCGCAAGACTGAAGGCCTATAGACCCTGGCCTGAATTTCCAAACCTTACATCCCAAACCTAGGACACACACTTCTCTCCGGTTCTGAATACTCGGGGCACTCTCATCCCTCTCAAGGATTGTTCCTATAAACCATCCCAATCCCAAACCGAGGGCACACACTTTTTCCGGTTTGTTTGAGATGCAGGTTGTGAAGATTTGGCAAGCCTTCGACTGGCCTGCTGATGTGGAAGCCTATGTCACACCAGTACATGTCCCACAACACTCCAGCCAAGACTCCCAGAAAAACCCTAAACCCTTTTGCGCGGAGCACCAAAACCCTAAACCTAAACCCTAAACCCTAAACCCCTACTACACCCTAAACCTAAATCCTCTACAGCGGAGATCAAGCCGATCCACCTTGCACAGGGGCTGCCCCCCATCGTGGCGCGGGAGTTCGGAACCACTTCCGAACACCAGGCCTGGCATGTAGAACATTGCAAGGTCAAACTCCCAAGCATGTGTTTTCTTACAGCTCTTGGCCCTCCCTTCCGGCCTCTTTAGGGTTTGGGGTTGAGGGTCGACGGTCTTTAGGTTTAGGGTTTTAGGGTAGGGTTTAGGGTTTGGTACAGGCCCGTCCCTTAGGCCGGAAAAGTCGGGGTCGCCAGCGCCTGGCTTACCTGAATGTACGGTTAAAGGGTTTAGGGTTTTGGGTTTTTGGGTTGAACTAAATTATGGGCCCTTGTGGTCCCTTAAACTACAAGGACGGAGTTGGCTCACAGGGGGCTTTTTTCTAGACTTGGGATTTAAGGTTCGACAGATCCTAAACCCTACA